TTGAGAATATATAGCTTTGTAGAGCTATTATTGGTCAGCTAAAATGAATCCCATAGATGTAAAGGACTGATGAAATGATGAAAGAGCCATCTAGAGCCATCCTTGGTTGTTAATTCTTTGAGTTTAACTTGAAAGATAGCATTTTCTATGTTGGGAATTTTGAAGGGTGTTTGGCTTGAGGTGTTTTTATTTTATTTTATTTTTTCATTTTAAAAGGGTGTTATTGGCCTATCAACTTTGTTTTCATCATGCTTTACTACTATAACACACAAAACTGACTAGATAGAAGTGAGGTCAATGCTCTAAATTAGAACAAACGTGGCCTTTAGTGATAGGACCCCTGACTGTGGGTTCATTAGCACTCTGTTTTAAATGGCCACAGTTAGGCATCTCTGTGTGAGTGTGTTGGGGGTGGGGGGTGACATCCTGTCACATTTAATTTAAGAGATATGGCACTCCGCTATCTTAATGGCTTATAAGTCTTTGATGCTAAAATGAAGTGTAATATGTTACCAAAATTTGCTGTCAAAAACACATTTAAATTACCCATCTTGGAGCTCAACATTTCATTCATCATCTTGGGGTCTTCATACCTCTCAATATGGAGAAAAGTTGGGATTTTCAGTTATTTATGGTTTTATTTCACCAATACTTTATCTTCTTCTTCTTCTTTTTTTTTTTTTTTTTGCTGTGCCATTCCTCTTGCAAAATCTTAGTTCTCTGACTAGGGATTGAACCTACACCCTCAGTCCTGAAAGTGCAGAGTGCTAACCACTGGGACTGCCAGGAATTCTTCATCAGTACTTTATCAGTTTTCATTTCTCCCCGCTTTGCTTTGTCTTTTCTTAGTGATTTAGAGTTCTGCAAAGTATCCCTATTTTGTTACAAAATTTATTTTCTTTTTGAAGTAAGTCAATGGAAGCTTTATTTTGGCATCCTTCCTATGGTGATGATTTCAATTTAGCAAGTATCTGTTGAATATAAAACATACGCCAAATACTGACACAAATATTTCATTTTCACAAGTATATGTAGGATGTTAGCCTCCATTATACATACTGGAGAACTCAAGTACAAAGAGAAAAAGTCACAGGGCTAGAATAGAATTGAACAAATACTAAATAGTGAGGTGGTGCAGCTAGTATTTGACCTCAGGACTTCTGATTCCAGCTCTAATATTCTATTAGTAAGGCTTCTTAACAGAGTTAAATATCAGACAGTAGGGGTATATTTATCACTTTGTTCTTATTTTTCTTTCTTTCCAATTTATTTTCCACGCAATATTGTGATTTTTTTTATAACATCAACAAAGACTAGAGAGATTAGAAACCATTTTAATTATAATCAAAGAACAGCTTTAGGTGGCAAAGTCTAGGTGACTTTTCTTCAGAGTCAAAACTGATGTCTTAAACTGGGATTCTGAAACAACAGACTAAACCGAGTCTTCAAACATGTGATATTTTACTTATGGAGTCATTAATTTTTTCTTCTTCCCCCTGGGCTAGTTCAAGTCTCATCATATTCATAATGATTATTCCAGAATCACTTCTATGGAAAGAAAGGAAAAAAAATACACACACACACATTCTTTGAAGAATTTTGTATTAAATTTCTGCATGTTTTTCCCTTTAAGTTTTATTTTTCTGAATTCCAAATCCTGAGGGTTGATTTATCCATTTTTCAATAGACCCATAAAGTTTGGAGAAGACATAGAAGAAGCTTTTGAATCCTTACTCCTTTTTTTCAAAGCATAGATTTTGCTTTGTATTACCAAAGTTACTTATCAAGTTTTAAAGTATTTAGATTATAGAAATTTTAATAGTAACATCTTCCAGTATTTAGATATGTTCGAGAAAAAAGTTTTTTCTTTCCTATCTTTAAAAGCTACCCCTTTGCATCTCTAGTGGTTTTCACATACTTTTGAATGTATTCAAAAGATCAGAAATGACCTTTTCCTTGTAATCTGTTCTTTGTGAGCTAATTCAGCTCATTCAGATGTATTAAACATTTGTTGGAAATTATAAAACATTTATAATCCTGTAGTGATCTTTTTATCTGAATAATTTAAATTTATTTGACCTTTGCCTACCCCAATTTAATCCTTTCATTTGGAAACTGCTTCACCATGGGTAATTCTTTCACAGACCAAATTTTGGTCCTGCTATTTGGGTCCATGCCCATCTTTCCTATTCATATCTCAGCATTCTTTAAATCCAAGACCACCATGTAGTGACTCTCAGCTAAACCACAGAGTAAAGCCAAGTTTGATGGTGTTTGAAAATGTGAAAAAAGGATCAGAAGAATTTGGATGAAAATCCTAAGTTTTTTTCAAAAGGGACTTAAACAAGAAGAGTTCCTTAAACAAGAGTCCCTATCTATGAGTGACTTTAGATGTCTACATATTTGGCATATGTTTAATCGTTTAACTTCTATCAGATGCCAGTTACCCACTAAACCTTCTTTCTCCCCCTTTGTCACCTGGGAAAATATAATTCTGTTTTTTTTTTAATTTTTATATAATTTTGATTATACACAAAGCAGCATTAACAAGCATTGCTGAGTTATTGTTTTGACTTAATAATCATCTGTAAATATTAGAAGATAGTTTGAATTACATTTCTGGCAACATACGGGACAGACTACATGAGAAATAAATGTGCCACTGTCAAGGAAAATAAAAACTTCACTGTTGAGAAGTATTGAGGGGACAGATTTGTCCCTCTGGTTTATTGAAACTGTTACACAGTTAGGCTTACTGTAAACTATCCCTTGATGAATTCTCTGCTGGACAATGAGCTTAAGAATTTGAGGTGTCTTCTTGCTTTTACAAAGCAGAATAGGACTCTGATGCTTCAATGGAAGTTGCAGAGCCCATAATAGGATGTAGGTAAAGTTACTGAACTCCCACTTCTCACTTTCAGGAAAGTAGTGGGAGAGATTGTGTCTTGAGAAGAAAGGCATTTTAGAGGTAACCCTTTTAAGATTTCAATTAGTTATTTAAATGTATGAATCATGTGCTTAAATGTATTATTAAAATGTTTATTTCTGAGGCTAGCTTAGCTTGTAGGAATCCTAAACACTGGGAGGTGTTTTGTTTTCCTGGGATTGGACCTATTTTTAAAAAACAAGGGCAAACATATTTTAGGTTTCTGGTTTAATCACAGGTTTTGGAGAAAACTTTTAGGACTTTATATGAATAATGTCATGATAAACTGCAAAAGAAAATAGACAATTGCAATATCCTGGAACCTATAATGACAATTTAATAGAATAGGGCAAGGTGTGTTAAAATATTGCACATTTTCACTAGTTACCACTTTAGAGATTTATAGAACATATTTTCAAAGAAAATTTACAGTAATTCTTTTTTTGCAAAAAAAAAATTATTCAGAGCATAATTTGTTTGGAAATGAAATTGTGCTTTTAAATTACGTGTTGATGACACTTTTTAGGTATTTACTTGTACTCCCAGCAGCCTTTTCTAAGGCTGCAGCAAAATGTTTGGAAGACCATCACATTTTACATTTTTGTGAATACCAATGTCTTATTTTTTTTTTAAAGCTGTCTTTAAAAGCAAAAATTAACCTAGGCTGAGAAGTGTTTGAAATTAATTGGAAAAGAATGCTATGTAAAGTTTCAAATTTTAAAACCAACATGGATATATACAACTTATACCAGTAAACTTAAAGTATCATTAGTAATAAATACAGTTGAAAACCCCATTATAGCATATAAAATTTACATCTTGCCAGTTGCAAACATTTTCATTTTATTCAGTCATAATACATTTGGTTATTTTATAGGCACTATTTGCATGTAGAATGGAGTTCAACACATAGTTAAACTTATGAGTTTATTACTTTACTACCCCATTATTATATCTATAGTCTTAGCTTGTATAAATAATGCAAAAAGTGAATGTAGTGTTACATTCAAGGCCAACTATATATTCATACATTTTTTTTTCCACTGCAACCCACTTTGAGGACTGTGTTACTCATAGGTGAGTGAATTTATTTCTTGTTGTGTAGATATATGTAATTACTTTTATGCTAAAGATGATTACAAATAAACCCTGGTATGCAACACTTATGAAGTGGGAAGGTACAAAGTAAGACAAAAGAAAACCTGTGAAGATATTTATTAGAAGTAAGGTGCAATTCCTGAATTATAATATGGGTACTTCATGACACTATTATCAAATGTGTCATTCAGAAAACAGTAATGGTCTTAGAGTATGAAGACCTAAGTTCAAACCTGACTCTGCCATGATCCAACCATATGATTTTGGTTGAGTCACCATTCCTTTTTGGGTTTTGTTTCCATTAACTATATATGCATACTTATGGCAGATTCATGTTTTTGCAGCAGAAACTAACACACCATTGTAAAGCAATTATTCTTCAATTAAAAATTAAAAAAAAAAAAACGCTAGCTCCCCTGTGTCCAACCCAACTCTTTTAAAGTGTAAGTACATGATTGCTTGGCCATCTGTGAAGAACCGAGTACTATGCTTAATCTCATAGGTAATAGTTTGAAGAGCAGTGATCATATGTTGATAAGAAATTTTCTAAATACTGTCATTGCTAGTATTCAGTCCTAAAATTCTGTGGAAATTTATGGCTTCAAAAATTAACCCAAACAATGGAGGTTTACAATTTGGATACCAAAATTTTAATGGAATTTCTTGCTTTCAAAACTGAATTTTTTCCAGATATTATGTTTTACACAAGCATAGAGCTTACTGTTTGATTTTTCTATTTGACCTTTGATTGCTGTTGTTTCTGACCAAGTAGTTGGTCAAAACCGACAAGGGCCAGTACTGATAGAGCAAACAGTGTTTCCTGGGGGGTTAATAAGTAATAACCTGACTTGTCATCCAAACGTCTGCAGATCCTGTTCCTTACTGTGCCATTTTTAGCAAGATTTTAACAAGAGAAGTCTGTATAAAAAGCAATTGCTCTTTTGTTTCCAAAACAGGTATTACAAGTGGATAAATAATGTGCACTGCTCTGAGCCCAAAGGTACGCAGTGGACCTGGCCTTTCTGATATGCATCAGTATAGCCAGTGGCTGGCCAGCAGACATGAAGCTAATTTGCTGCCGATGAAAGAAGATCTGGCCTTGTGGTTAACCAACCTGTTAGGTAAGGTTATAAGACCTCGTTTTGTCAGCAAAGATAACACATTTATTCCCCTTACTCCTGTAATATCCTTCTCCTAGGCATGTGACAGCACCTTAGAAAGAAAAACTTTTATCAGTTTCATTTTGCATCTGGGATACCTGAAGCATATGGAAAATTTAAATGAATTTCCCAATGTCTCTTACATTAATTGTGCTTAGTTATTCCAATATAATGCATTGAAGTGTGGAACTATGTGGTCAAACTGCTTGTTTTATCTACACGCTTGCTGATCTGATTTATTTTTACTTTACTTTCATGCAACCGGCCAGTTTGGCCTATTCTTTCGACACTGCACACGAGCCACAGTCTGTGAAATCTGGCTTCTAAAACTCGACTTCTTTGCTCTCGTTTTATAATACATCTTCTGTTGTTTAGTTGCTAAGTCATGTCCAACTCTAAAACTGCTGAAAACCCAGACTCTGGAACAATAACTCCTGTCCTTTGTCCAGATGAGCTGACTGGAGTCATCCAACCTTGAACTAGAATTTTTCTTTTCATTGCACTTTTATTTTTAAATACTTTCCCAAAAGGACTGTCTTTGAGAAAAATACTGCCTCATGCTAAGGCTGCCTCTTTTTTTCTGTGTTGTTTGTACTGTGCTGGCATAGTCATAGAATACAATTTCAACCATGTGCAAAGTAGAATCATACAGTTAAAGGGTCATCATATAAAACAATACTATTTCACTAGTAATTTTTCACAGAGGACAAAATTGATTTAAGCCCTGAGAAAAGGATCCTTATAGAGTTCATAAAATATAAGATTTGAATATTGAATATACATAGGATTTGCATGGTGCTTTATCATTTACAGAAAGGATTTCACCAACATGATCTTATTAGTGATTTCACCAACATGATCTTATTATTGAAAGGATTCCTTCAAGGTAAGTGTTGTTATTCTCACTTTCTAGCCACTGAAATGAAAGAGTTTAAGAGAAGAGCACCCTGTGGATCTGAAATTTTAACAAGGTTTGGCAAGGTTTGAGCACACTTTAGCAAGTTGCTCACCATGGCTCTGGATTTTTATGCTGCTTTTCATTTTTTAAGCCTTTATTCTAGAGTTGGATATTTCCTTTTTCCTCATGCTTTCGGCAGTTTTATGTCATCTAACCAGAGCTACCACATATAGAAATGCAGGTGGTATCTTTTGTGAGGAAGCCTAATTAAGGGGTGAGAGGAGAAATGTAGAAGGCATCCTTAACATCCATCACGCCCCAGAAATATCGTTCACTGTGCTATGGAACTGTATCCACCAGAATGAAGGGCCATCTTTCATTTATTCAAGGGAAAAGCATTTATCTCCATTATACAGAGGAACTCAATTTAACTTAAACTGATGGGTTTCCTTCCTCTTTTGTGTATTCACTGGTTATTGTTACATTAGCATTTTATTGACTTCAAGCTGTTTTCAGATAAGGGCTCTCACAAGCATGGCAGTATATAAAGTAAGGCACAGACTTGGAATAAACTGCCTGTGTTTGAACCCCAGATCTGCCAATTACTAGCAGTACAATCTTGGGCAAGTTATTTAATTTCTGTGCTTCAGTTTCCTCATTTATGAAGTGGTAATGACAGTAGGGTTGCACTGAGATTAAATAATTATATGTGCACTACTTAGAATAGTGCCTGACATAAACTCTATGTGTGGTGGTGTTATGCCATTTATTCAGTCTGGTGATACAATTAATTTGATCTGGTGAGTAAGTTCATTCATTTATTCAACAAATATTTGAATATGTAGCAGCATAATATATAATTTGAATAAAATGGACTCTGGAATCAGAATGCTTGAACTCAAATCTCATTTCCATCACTTACTAGCTTTGTGATACCAGACAAGTATCTGAATGCACTGTGTTTGGGTTTTGTTATCTGTTAAGTAAGTGTAATACTAGTACCAACCTCAGGAGGATTGTTGTAGAGTCAGCTGAGATCACTGGTTTTAGAACAAGGTCTGCCATATAGTAATCAGCTAACTATGGTAAATACTAGCTATTGTGTTCATTGTGTTGCAGCACAGTCTTCTGAGTACTAGAGGGTGGAGTGGTGATTAGGAATAGGCAGATTGCCTGTTCTTATAGAGCTTGGAGTAGATTGAATATGAAATTAATATTAAACAAGTGACAATGAATAATTAATTGGATTTGCTATAAACTGTATAAGATATAGGTTGTAATAAGAATGTAAAAACAAGGAGGTGGGAGTGAGGCAAATAAACAAATAAGGGCTTGGGGAAATCCTTTTTAAGGGCCTTCCCTGTTGGTTCAGACAGCAAAGAATCTGCCCGCAATGCCAGAGACCTGAGTTCGATCCCTGGGTTGGGAAGATCCCCTGGAGAAGGGAATGGCTATCCACTCCAGTATTCTTGCCTGGAGAATCCCCATGGACAGAGAAGCCTGGCAGGCTACAGTCCAGGGAGTTGTAAAGAGTCAGGCACAACTGAGGGACTTTTACTTCACATATTGGAAACTGGGATCTAAAGAATAATTAATAGCTAAGCAGACATATCATGGGAAAGAGCCTGGATAGAGAGAATGGTATGCGTGGGATAGGAAGGAGTTTGGTGCATTGGAAAGACAGAATGAAAGCTTGTGTCAGTGGCATAGATTAAAGGAGAGGGGCAGGGAGATATATGAGATTTGTTGGAGCTAGAGCATATACTGCTTTGAAGACTAGGTTGAGGAGCTTATAATTTATTGCATGATCAATGAGGAGTCCCTGAAATGTTCTAGGCAGAGAGAAATCATGATTAATTATAGCCTGATTACACAGGTATGTTTCAAAGTCCCATGATTTTTCATCAGAAGCATTTTATTTGGTGAATGTGATCATTTACAAAGTAGCTTGATCAGTGTGAGCAGCCCAAGACAGCCTCAAAGAATAGAGAGTCAGTGTATGTGTAATGGAAATATCCTTGGACTAAAAGTCAGGAGACCTGGCTTCTAACTGGGAGTCAGGAGACCTGGCTTCTGGTTCTGGCTCTGGCACTTGGTAGGAAACTTGCCCAAAGTCACTCAGCTATCTTTTCTGGGCTCGGTGTCCCCAACCATAAAATGAAGGGATTGGAGTAGACGATCTCTAATGTCCATTCCAGTTCCAAAAGTCTAAGTTTCCAAGAAATCCATCTCTTAAGACCCAGTTTAAAATCATCAATAGGCATAAACAAGGAGAAACAAATTTACATAAATGAATAATCATTCTTTTAAAGCATAAGAAGGCTAATATATTCACTACTAGTTGTTGGTAACACAAATGCAACCAATAGCTTGTGAAATTTTCTCAGAAAAAAAAAATCTTAAAAGAATCTCAAAGTACCACCTTGTGTTAACTTGAATTTATAAAAATAGAAAATAATAGATTTTAAGTAACTATCCTCATGGTAACTTGGAATGTAGACCAAGAGCTTGAGATTATTTAAAACGATAAAGCATTCAGAGGTAATAAAATACATTATGTTCTAGAATGGTGATAATAAGGAAGGGAGAAAAATATATGGCTATGATAAAAGTTATTTTTATTACGCATAATAGATACAATTAACATTCATATATTTTAGAAGGGAGCCATTAAAGCAACTTTTAAGATTATTTTTACTGTTTTGTCACCTCAGAAATATTTGCAAATTTTATTATACAACCTTCTTTCAGTTTTTAATTTTTATCTTCTTAAAGGTTAGGGATTGTTGGTTGAAGCCTAGAGACAGAAGGTTGAAAGTAGTTTCAGAATTCATCTGATCTCCCAATAAAGCATTTGAATTTTTTGGTGAGGTAGAAATTCACATACTAAATTAAAGCTTTTAACAAGATTTTATGATTGCAGTTTGGACCTTACTTATGGAAAGATTTCTTATTTCTTTTTAGTAACACTTGACTAAACTAACTTTTTTTCTTCCTTGTATTTCAATAAATATTGATGATATTCTGAATTCATATTTTTTGTTCCTACTTATCAAGTGTCCATTAAAAGATGGAGTTTCTTAAAGAACACTCATTTTGTATTCAGGTTTTTGGGTGGATAAAAATTATTTGATAGAGAAGAAAGTTGTTTCACTGATTCATAGGCCAATATTAAAATTTATGCCATAAAGTAACAATATCTAATTTGCAATAGCTAATTTTTAGACTAAAATTAGTTGGTGCAGTGGTAAAAGAATCTGCCTGTCAATGCAGGAGACACAGGTTTGATCCCTGGGTTGGGAAGATCCCCTGGAGCAGGAATGACAACCCACTCTAGTATTCTTGCCTGGAAAATTCCATGAACAGGGGAACCTAATGGGCTACAGTCCGTGGGGTAACAAAGAGTCAGACACAACTAAGCATGCACATATGTCAATGACAGACTAAAAATTTTATATTATGATATAAACCTGTCTTATGATAAACAGTGAAGATGAATAAATTATCATAATAGTTAGGATTTGTTTATGGGGTAGCATACCAGTCTGATTCATGAGAAAATCACCAGGTGATATTTACTGACTATTCCTAAATCTTTGTAGTCCAAGTATGGCTTTTAATATCTTGCATTGTGGAGTTTTATGACCAATATTTATAAAAGACAGCAAAAGAAACCTGAAGCAAAAGAATCTTGCCTCTTAAATATTTATCTGTCCATTATCCCTTGCTATATATTAAATATACACATTTGATTTTTATTTTAGGCTTTCTGTTTTTGTTATTTTTGTTCATGATTTGTTAATTAACTGTCCTTCAGACATATTTGAACATCAAATGATTATACAAATAAACCTTGGGGAAAGACTTGTCACTTTGAGTAAGCAGTATGTTATTAAATTAACAGCCCCAGATTATAGCAACTGCTTATCATTTAAATAAATGAGACACGTTCTATGTATTTCATAATTTTGGGGCTTAGGCTTCCTTGGTGACTCAGTGGTAAAGAATCTGCCTGCAATGCAGGAGACGCAGGAGGCACGGGTTTGATCCCTGGGTGGGGAAG